TTACTTGACCTGATAGTCAGGATTAGTTTGCTATTTTGACATGTACATGACATGTTATTATTTTGAGTTGTATATGCTATGTCATTCTTTTTGGTGAGCATCGGGGATGACTATACCATATTGATAGTTTGTATATGTCAACAGTGATGTACACCCAGGTCTATGTTACGTATTTAATTGCATCTCTTTTGTTTATTTGATGTAGTTATATAAGTAATATCATGGACATTATTTTGAGACCTGATGGTTGTGAGATAGCCTAGGCCAAGGATAGCCGTGCAATATGTTTCATCTATGTTGTGTTATGATCGTGATATGTTTAAACTGGTAATCAGGTGAAAATTATGATGTAAAAAATATCCCCAGTGGTCCAAAATACATATGAAATATTATTCGTTTTATTTTGGCTATGGAAGTGATAAAGTTTACAATACATAAGCAAAAAGAAAAAGTTGACCAGTTAGCTTTTGCATTTAATTTATAAAGTATGCTGCACATCATATAAATATTAACTAATTGGCTACAGACGAGGCGATACATCTGGTATGAAAATGGTTACTTAAATGAAATTTGATTTAGGAATAAAACAAAAGTAATTGAGACATAATGTTTTGTTAGGAAACGTGAGTTGCTATAGCAATTTGGATAATTGTTTTAAGTCGTTGTAGTAGAAGTGAATCTATGTCGTTCATACTTGTGTTATCAAGGAAATAATACGTAATCCTCCTCTTTAAATCTAATGTACTTTGTCAATTCTTCCTTTGTTACGTAATCAACAGTGTCACTTGACATATACACTTAGAGGGCAAAAAATTTAAATATTGTTTTTTTAAGAAATAATTACGCAAATGTAATCGTTTTGAAACTATTTACATAGGTATAGTAGTTAAACACGCCCCACAAGGGCGTGACCGGTTGGAGAGAGACACTTCCCATTCGAGCGTGTTTGAGGAGAGAGACACTCCCATGTGGGACGTGTTTCACCACGTGGCACAAAAATCAACAGTTGACTGTAAAACTTTGGAAGTCTATAATTTTTGACTCGTGTGTCCGAATTAGATAATTTTTGTTTGATTCCACATAACTTTTCGAGATCTACATAAAGACACCTCATTTGATATATTTTGTCTTTCACAAAAAAAATTGAATTTACAATAATGATACCATAGGAACGTTTAAACCCAAATTAATAAACAGAAAAATACTGTTATGATTAGAAACATTCATAGTAAAGATCCTTATAATTATAGTAAAAATACATCAAAATGACATAGTTTTATTAAAAATGACATAACTTTGTGTCATTTAAAATGATAAATATTTTTCCCATATAAATTATATATTTATAAAATTTTACTTTTTGTAAATATAAATTTCAGTTACTAGAATATGGTATCTCATCGAAAGAAAAGGGAAAATAATAATAAAACAACACTACCATATCGTTTATATTATAAAACAAAGACAGGAAAAAAAAATTATCTCCACCTTAATATTCACTTTTATCTTTTTTCGTTAATAAAGTTCTGTTGTTCTTAACTTTTTTTCTTTATCTACTTTTCTTTTAATAGAGTTTCCTAAAAAAATCCCAAGACTCCCCTCTTTTATTCCTTCTCTCTCTTATTTCTCTAAAAAAAATTCTTTTTGATAAAGCTTCCTTACTATTTATTAATTTTATATTCTTTATTCTTTCTCTCATTCTTTTTTTTGCTAGAACTTTCTCTCATTCTCTAATAGTAGAGATTCCACCAAAATTCCCAAGGTCTCTTTCTTTCTTTTGCTCTTGTAAGTTTTTATATGTATGAGAAGAGATTTTTTTAACTCCGGTGTAAAACTAAGCCGTCTTACTCTTTATTTTAGCTATTAATTTTTGTCCATCTAATATTTATAATTTTTTAAGTTATATCAATTAATTAATTCTAAATAAAGTATAACCATTATATAAAAGGAGATTAGCAGCTAAAATATAAAGTAAGAGTTATTAATTTTATACGGGGGTCAAAAGATCCCTATTATATATATTCAAGATGTTACATTAACACTATCGCTATTGTCTCAACTAGATAAATAGATAAGCGAAGAGATTTTGTCGAGAAACATGCATGCGTATGAGGCATAGCTTCTTTTTTTTGGAAGAATATGAGAATTGACGAGATAACCCATCTGGATCTGGAAACTACAACTCTGATATGAACAAGTCAAACTATTTAGGCTCCATTTTTTTTTCAGGTTAATAATTTCTTTTTGGAAATAACTATAAAATTGTTACCTTATAATTATTACTAAAAATAATCTAATATTTTTATAATCATTAACAAAAACTTAAAAATCAAAATAAAAATGAAAAGCACTCACTTAATTTTTTAATATAAATTATTCGATATTCTCTCACCGACAGACGTTAACCGAATAAAATTATAAATTTAATAAAATTCTTCATTCAAATTTTTACTATATACCTCAATAACATACATAATTAATTTTGATATAATAAGTCATATTCATTGCATGCGATTAATGGGAATGACAACATTTCTGCAACTAACCTAACCTTATCATAACTTACCATAATCATAAGGATCTTTACTAGAAATGTTTCTAATCATGACAATGATTTTCTCTTTATTAATTTGGGTTTAAACGTTCTTAGAGTATTATTGTTGTAAATTCAAATATTTTTGCGAGAGACGAAATATGCCAAATGAGGTTTCATTACGTATATCTCGAAAAGTTATGTGGAATCCAAAATTTTTTACCTAATTCGGACACCCTTGTCAAAAGTTATAGACTTCCAAAGTTTTTCGGTCAAACTGTTGACTTTTGTGCCACGTTACAGCACCTGGTGAAACATGCCCAACATGGGAGTGTCTCTCTCCTCAAACACGTCCCAATGGGGAGCGTGTCTCTCTCCAACCAGTCATGCCCCTGTGGGGCATGTTTGACTGCTATACCTACGTAAATAGTTTCAAAACGATTACATTTGCGTAATTATTTATTAAAAAACAATGAAAATTGTGTATCATTTTAAAGGATGTAAAGTTGTGTCATTTTAAGTGAGAGAAAGAGATAGATAAAGGAGAGAGAGAGAGAGTTGACCAAAAAATATAAAGGTTTTGGGTCCCACCTCTTTGTGAGAGTAAAATGACATAAGTTGTGTCATTTAAAAGGATAAACAATTTTCCAAAAAACAATATTTAAATTTTTTTGCCCACTTAGAGACCATAAACAATATTCGGTGGTGGAATCGAAAAATTATCTATGAAAAGAAAATGACTGATTTGATGAAGCTTTTGTGATGGTTTTGTTCTTTGATCACTATTATGGTGATTAAAGAAAAGGTAATTTAAAAAAAAAATCTATTTAATTAGCTTGGAGTAGCAATTAATGCATGTATCACAAAATTTTTATTATTATTTTTACTATGGCATGCCTAAATTTATGTAGGTGTGCTCAAAATGAATGGTGATGATCTTTCTAAAGAAAATATTAATTGATGTTCAAGAAATATGTGCTAAGAATATAATCTTGGACGATCCACGAATTGTAGCATGTGTACTAATTGTAACACAAAATAATTATAATTTATTTCCTAACTTTTTCATTATAGTACCATCACAAAGATGGCTCAAAATTGTTTAGATACATTAGGGAGCTTATTTATTCCTTTTTACACTTTCAATCCTATAATTTGTTTGAAGGAGGAGAGATGCTAATTCTACGAAATAAAATTATTTTTAAAACTTAAATAAGGTTTTCTTTCGATTGATGTGTTTTATTTTTATGTCCATCTCAGTTGCATTACCAACTTTTTTTTTTTTTTTTTTTTGATAACAGCATTACCAACTTTTATATTTTCAAGATATTAGTTTATCGGGTCACCTGTTCAACCAAACCAATTATTAATAAAATTATCGTATTCTCTATAAAAACATTTTATATTATTCAATAATTAATGATTTATATGATTATTATAATTTTTAATTATGTATTTAAATAATAAATAAATAAATAATTTAATAGGCTAAATTTATGTATTTATACCTATTTAAGTTTCTTGGGTTAATAGGCTTCGTTTGTACATTTTTTTTAACCCAAATATATCAAGGGAGTTACTAGTCTCATGTTATTTGAGATAATACTTTCATGTCGGTGAGACAAATATGTGGGGTTTATAATTTAAAAAAAGAAAAGAAAAAAAAAAAGAAAAGTTAGCACAAAATTCGATGAGTATGTAATATAAGATAATTATTTCAATCAGAAAAATATTTCCTATATACTAATAGCCTTTCCATTGTTGGAAAACTCTTGTAAAAAGAAGTGTTTTGGGACTAACTGATGAATATGGCTTCAACATCCTTGTGAACAATTGCAGAAAAATGGAAAAATGATGGAAACAATGGGGTTGGCTTAGAAGCTTGAGCTTGGCAAGCTCATTTTTTTTTTTTTAGTATATGAAAGTTTAAGTGGGGTTAGACACCGGTATCCCACTAGGTTAGGGAAGACCCTCAACCTCTTTGAGGATTTCTGGGAGGGATTACATATCACCCACCAACAAAGTGTTCACATCGGCCAGCGGGATTTGAACCCACGCCCTTGAGAGGTATGGACCAAACCCTTAAGCAACTGTGCCCACCTTTGTTGGCTTGGCAAGCTCATTTAGAAACAATGGAAACAAATGAAAATTTTAACAATGCAATGGTGATGTCAGATGATAGAAACAAAGCAATAATGTCTTATGACATGCCCATTTTGCAAGGCCTAAAATCTGGTCTTATTCAATTGATGTTCCACAATTTGAATTGAATCTGTCATGTTTCACATGTCCCACAATTTATAAGGCTCTTTATGAAGGTTAATGATTCATTTAAACTTCCAAGCAGTACCCAAGAAAGCCTTGAGGATGAGATTGTTGAAAAGATATAATAAAGAGAAGAAAAAAGTCAATTGATCTGAAACTATGAATTCACATAAACATATAAACCAAAAATCACAGCAAAACATTAAACTAAATTGGCCAAGAATTCTATACTTCTAGTTTTTGTTACCATGGATGATGGGATACATTGACGACAAATTGGACAACTGGGTTTCTTCTCTATCCAATGGTTGATACAATCAAAATGAAAAGTATGGCCACAAACAGAGAAAACCAAGCATTCTTCTCCCTTCTTGAAATCCTCCAAGCAAATTGCACACTCATTGCTATTTGATGATGCCATTGCTTGGCTTCCAAAACATACAATAGATCCTATCACCCTCTGGTTTCCTCTTTCCTCAACAACCCAGAAAAGCTTATCAAAAATTCTCACAACCCTTTGGTTATTTTGTTGGGTTTGTGCATAAAAATTGGTTCTTTCTCTCAATTCAGTATCCAATCCACGCCTGTTATGGATAACCCTGCAAAGGAACACACTAATGATGCAAAGAGTGAGAACTATCGCCACAGAAACAATGGTTGAAAAAACATAGATGCACATGAAGATTAGCATTGCAATTGCAAGAGCAGCAATGAAGGAAACCATAGGAGGAGAAGGTGGTGGTGATGATGGTGACACATGAGTTCTGAGGATGCTACTGTTGCTGTTGTTGTTGTTATTGTCCTCCATGGTGTGATTGTTGGAAACTTTGGCATGGCTTGTTTTTATTTTCAGTGTTTTTTCTGTCTTGGAAAATTGCATCACTTCCAAAACCCATTTTTCTTCGTTTTTGTCTTCTATAGAATTAATGGCACATATCATAGATAGAGGTTCCTTTCTCTTCAAAAAAAGAGAAAAGAAAAAACATGGATAGAGGAAACTGATCTTGGTCTACGCAAGCATTCACTCTGCCTCTCAAATAAAGTGGTTCAGTTACAATATCAAGAGAAATTCATAGGTTGTCTGAGTCAGCAGTTGAAATGAAAAGAATGCTTTCATCATGCCTTAAATTTATGTTTAAAGTGCATTTTCTTTTAAGGAATGAAATAGGTGACACAGATTAATGTAATGTTTCAATTTGGACACTCATATGTCCATAAAGTGCACAGGTTGATTAATCTCAGAATATCTTATATCATAAAAGTCATGACAACGACTGTGAAAATGATATGTATCTGCAAGACATTTATGTTTATAATTTATTTTTTGTTTGAATAGTGCTTAAAATTTATTATGGTACATTGCATAAAAAGAATTTCAAAGATTTGAATTCATTTAAAAATAAATATATACACATGTCTTGCATATGATTTATATATACACATGATGAGTCTTCTATATAAAAGTTTTTTTTTTTTTTTTTTTTGCTATGGTAACTGATAACTGTGCTTCTATATAAAAATTTGACCATTACGTTTCCTATAAATTATACTAATAAAATTATAAGATAATATCTTTTGGAAAAACGTTTAATTTTCTAAAGCATTAAATTATTAATAGTCCTTTTAAATAAAAAGGGTAAAAAAGCATGAGCATTTAATACTTTTATATCTTCTTATAAAAAAATACTTATATTTTAAGTTTTTTCCTTTCCTCCTAAGGTAGCTTAACAATCCTCCAAAATTTTAAAGTAGGAAGAGATAAATTTAACATTGACCTTCAACACAAATGCATCAAATAATTTTGAAAGTTTCAATTTATTTTAAAGAGTCCATCGTCTTTAAATAATTATCCGAAGACTAAACATTTTTTACAAAAGTTATAAAATTGTTGTTTTTTAGTTGATGAAAAAGCTTACATGGGATTAAATGTCGGTATCTGACCTGGGCCAAGGCAGACACAATTTCTTTGAAGATTTTTGGAAAACGCACCACTGATAAAATCCTCACATGAATTAATGGAATTCAAACTCGTGCCATTATGAGTTAGTAGCATGATCTTTAACCAAGTGCGCCACCCATTGGCATAAATAAATTGCTTTAATAGGGAAGACTTATCATTTTTCTATATGTTTATGTATTAATCAGATACTAGAATATTACTCGTGTGATGTGCCAGGAAAAAAAAAATTATTTGTTTCGTAAAAATTAACACAAATCATAAAAGTATGTTAGTGCAATTTTATTTAAATCAACCATATGAGGTGCCTAACTCCAACTTTTTGTATATGTAGAGTTGGCAAATATTTTAGTTAGTAGATGTCATTGTATTAGCTTGTCCTTTAGTCATTCATAAATTACATAGTTTGACTCGGTTTCTCTCAATATTTCTCAGATGAATTGTTCATTTTGTATTAGCTTGTCTCAATATGATTGTTCATTTTGTTTCGATACTTATTTCTGAAATATTTACAGCAGTAAATTCAATAATCTCAACCACACAAAGATGGATTTTTTAGACAATAAATATAAGAAGAAAAAAATGTGTTGGCAGGCGCAATGGGTCGGCCTTCCGGGCCGAGCCCATTTTGACACCTCTAACTGTCATCATTTTATATCAGCAGTAAATCCAATGATCTTAGCCACACAAAGACGGGTTTGTTAGACAGTAAATATAAAAAAAAAGGTTTTAGCGGATGGGGTGAGTCGGCCCTCCGCGTCAAGCCCATTTCGCCACCTCTAACTGTTAGCATTTTACATTAGCATGTACTTTCAATTAAAAAAAGTGTACTTTTTATATTAAAACTTTTTATTCTCACAAAATCTTAAATATTTTTGTTACTTATAGTTTTGTATTTAAAACAAAATATATATATAATATTTGCTAGTATACATAACTTGCATTTAATATTTTTACTTGAATAATTTTTTTAAAAAGAATAGACTTTATAATTTTTTTTTTGGTATCCTGCATAATTTTATAAATTAACTTGAACTGAAATATATATAGTTTAAAAGCATTGATAACAAAATAAAGATATTTAAGTCACTTTTACACTTATTTTGCTTTCTATTGTTAGTATATCAAATTAAACTGCTACAAGGATCCATTTTTAAAAGAACAATTCTTCATGCTAGAGCTATTTTTTATGTATTTTGTAGTATTTATCATCTACTAGAAGTAAACAAACTACCCAATGGGTGCAGCTCAGTTGGTAACTTGGCGCTGAGTTAGTGGGGTTGAATATGTGTTCGATTCCCGCTGAATGCATTCTTGGGGAGGGGGCTGAACCTTTAGCCATCACTGTTCCCCCGCACTCCGGATTAGTCCCATAGCCGGCTCAAAGAGTCGAAGCTCGTGGGGATACCGGAGGGAGCCAACTCGTCTCAAAGAGATAATTAGGGTTGGGTAACTCCAAAAAAAAGAAAAGAAGTAAACAAACAAAAAGCACATAACCAACACATGTCATAATTTCATTAGACTCATGAAACTTGTCACACAACAATATATATGCAATTGGGATATAATACGAAAGGCATTGATGTATTCATTGTTACTCTTATCGGTTGTGTGGATATGAGTATGACATTCCTGTTTTTTAAAATATTTTAAAAAAGGGGTTCTTCATTAACATATGATTTATTTATTCAAATCTCTATTAAGTACACATGATTTATTAAATATGATAAAAAATTTGATTTAATATGTTTTGTATTCAAATACTATTGCAATTGTAATTTGTGAAATAATGGTGTTATTAATCCTAATGATCATTGGCTCGTTTGTAGTCCCAAAAAATTAATTTAAATCCTAATAGACATAATAATAAATATTATTATTAGGCTTAACAATTTTTGATGTAGAAAGTAGTTGTATTATTAAGAGACTTCAATTTTCAATACAGAAAGTAGTGGTATTATTAATAGACTTAGCAATTACCCATGTAGAAAGTAGTAAGATATTAATACAGTTGTTTGCCACCAAAGAATGTTGAACTTTTCTCCAACTTATCAAGTTTAAATTTTAAATTTTAAAAGTTACTAAAAGACGAAACATTTCAAAGTGGTTTTAAGTGTGAACAGAAAGTGAATATTGAAAGAATTAGCAAGACATCAACAAACTTTCCAAAGAATGATTTGAAATTTTATATACAGATAAGATAAGATAAGATTTCTTAATACCAAACTGAGAAATGTTAAGGGACAACTTGTTTATACCACTAAAATGACTTGCCACATTAACCCTCCTTTTCCAAACACAATTTTTGCATACATTTTGACAATAAAATTAATATTATAACCCTCACAAATATACATGGTAATCAAAGCACATGCATAGAACGCTGCCCACATTCTTCAAGTAATATTCTTCTTGTGACTTTTTATTTTCACCAATTGATGGTCACTGAATGATCATTCATTTTTATGCTGATTATATTTTTATAACTTTAATTTTTTACAGAATGATAAATGTCATTTTTTATTTAATTTTAAAATTTAAAATTTAAAATATTTTTTATTAATTATACATACTTTTTAAAAAGTAATTTTTTCTTTTAATATTGGTTATACATATATATTTAAAACGTTTATGTTAAAAAAAATTAAAAAAATACTTGTAAGGAAATATTTTTCTCTTTTTGTATTATTTCTTTAAGTTTAAGTTTTCATTTATTTTCTTATAAATATGTAATTTTTTATTTTTTTCATTTAAATTTCAAATTTAAATTATTTTTATCAACTATACATACATTTTTATAATTTAAATTTTTTGTTTGATCTATAATCTTTTATATTAAATTTAAATTTATTATATATATCTTTTTTCTCACTACAGAAACATTGAATACTGAACTATTTTCTCACCTATCAAGTCTAAAATTCAAAGTGACTTTGGACAGTGCGCTCTGCTAGGGTTTTGAAAAAATAGGGTTTCTAACGGTTCTTTAATGGCGTCGGCCGCTGGCCATTCACGTTCGGCGGAGGAATCTGATCTCCTCCAAAGAAGCAGAAAGAAGAGTAAAGAAGGAGATAAGGCTTTTAGTCATGATCAAACTATGGCTTTGGTGTCAAGAGATGATAACTGGATGCATGAGAACATGTCATTCAAGGAGATGGTAATGAGACACAATGGAGAATGGCCTCTGGAAGATGAACTGAATAAAATGAATGAAGAAGGTGAGGAGGATGCGCAGGGAGAAATCGAAGGTGACAAATTAAATGACCCCGAGGATGTTTTGGAGGAAGATAAAGACGGAAGAATTAACTTCCGGTTGTCTGCTAGCTTTAAGAAGAAAGCTTGGCAAAGATGGCATAATTCAGTGTTCGTGAAACTTCTGGGGAAAAAGTTGTCTCACGCGTTTATGAAAAAGCGCTTAGAGAATATGTGGGCAAGGAACGAAAAAATCTTTGTGACTGATTTGGAGAATGATTTTTTTTTCTGGTGAAATCTGAGGAGAAGAAAGACCTCGAATTTGCTCTAACAGCGGGGCCCTGGACTATTTTTGAGCACTACTTGGCGATCTGTTCTTGGGAGCCTGATTTCCATGCGCGAAGTGCAACGATCAATCGTATTTTGGCATGGGTTCGGTTGCCAGAATTCCCGGTTGAATACGTGAATACAAGTTTAATCAAGAGCATTGGTGATTGGCTTGGTAAATTTGTTCGAGTGGATGCTGCTACAACAACCCTTGCAAGAGGAAGATTTGCAAGGTTATGTGTGGAGATCGATCTCACCAAACAACTTCAAGCAGATTATAAGGTGGAAGGAAAGATTAAAAGGATTGAATATGAAGGACTACATCTCATCTGTTATGAGTGTGGGAAGTATGGTCACAGGAGTGAAGCATGTCCTAATAAACCTTTACAAGAGAGTGAGGAAGGAAATCTAGGTATGGAAGATGGAGAAGCCAATGAGGGCCACCTTAAGGATTCACACTCTTCTCAACGGTCAGGGAGCAACAATAATTTTGTTCGTTGGATGTTGGTTTCAAGGAACAGGAATGGGAAAGGGAATGCTGATCAGGTTCGAGGAGAAGGAAAGAAAGGAAAAGGTAGCGTGGTGCCTGCAGGGAAGGATAGGCTGGGTACTAGATTCGAAGCTTTGAAAAGTACGGAGATGTTAGAAACTGAAGTAAGTTCTACGGATTAAGAGGACTCATACACCAATAATCAGGTATCCGCTTCCTCTCCAAGACAGAAGAAAGTCATGTCTCAGGAGGTTAAATTGATAGAAACTTCCTCGAGATTTATGATTGAAGGGGATAATGAAGAAGGAAAAATTGTTGAGAATAAGGCAGGAAGTAATAGGGAGCAGTTAGCAGCTGGTGGTAAAAAAATGAATAATCACGTGAAAAATTCCATGCAGAAAATGACAAAAAATGTTGTTGTAATTTCTACTGGGCCACCTCGTGAGACAACAGTAATGGCTCAAACTGGGGCGCTGAAAGTTGAGAAGAAAAAAGGTAGTCAGGCGAATAAGGTAGCTGACGAAGGCAAGAGCAGTAATATGTAGCATGGAATTCTGAATCCTAAGCCCCCAGATCCTATGATGATCGAGAGTTATCACGAAATCGTTGTGGGAGACAATACTTGTCCTATGGAGGAAATAAAAGAAGACTTAATAACGGAGGAAAAGGTTTAGGATCCCTCTAAGCCTAATACCAATACCATAAGTTATTAATGTCTTTACTCATATGGAATGTTAGAGGTGCTGCTAAAAAGGAATTTGGTGGTACCCTTAGATCTCTTGTTCACAAGCATAAAGTGGAAGTTGTTGTTCTCCTTGAACCTCGTACTCACAGTGGTGTTTGTCAGAAGCTTGCTAAGAAGCTTGGTTTTGATTCTTAGCTGGTTGAAGAAGCAATTGGTTTTTCGGGAGGGATATGGATTCTATGGCACAGTGCTAAGGTTACAATCTCTCCTCTGCTCCAATCATCCCAATTCATCCATTGTCAGGTCAAGTTCCCAGGTACCCATCAGTTTATTTTTACTGCTATTTATGCGAATCTTGCTCAAGCTATTAGAGATAAACTATGGGATGAGCTTAAATGTCTAAGCGCTTCTATCTCTGATCCATGGCTTTTGGGTGGGGATTTTAATGAAATTGCTTTCACCAATGAGAAGAAAGGTGGTGTTCTACCGAATCAAAGTAAGTGTGGTAAGTTTGCTTCTGTTCTTCGGGACTGCCAGGTAGATGACATGGGGTGTGATGGGTCAGCTTTTACATGGCAAGGCCCAAAATGGGGAGGAATGCACAAGATTTATAAGCGATTGGATAGAGTGGTTGCTATTGTTTCTTGGAGAATGTCTTTTGATGAAGCTAGAGTTTCTGCTCTTCCTCGCCTTTTGTCTGATCATAATCCTTTATTGATTAAATTATTTGAAGATAAAGAGGGTCATGTTAATAAACCTTTTTGGTTCTTTGTGGCATGGCAAGAGCATTATAAATTTAATGAGTTTCTTACAGCCAACTGGGAGGAAGAATTTGATCTACCTTATATGCTGCAGAGATTAGTCCCAAAAATCAAGATTTGGAATAGAAGAGTATTTGGCGATATTGATAGGAGGAAGAATAATATTATCAGCAAGATTGATAACATTCAGAAGCAAAGAGAAAACCATGATTCTGATCAGCTTAAATGCGTTGAAGAGAATTAGCAGAGGAACTTGATGACTGTTTTGCATGAAGAAGAATTATTTTGGTTCCAAAAGTCTAGACAAAAGTGGATTGCTGATGGGGATAGAAACACTCGCTTTTATCATCTTAATACGGTTATGAGAAGGAGTGTTAATAAATTCTTCAAGCTTAGGAATGATGTTATCATTTGGATATCAGATCCAAATGATCTTCGGCTGATGGCTTGTAATTTTTTTAAAGTTCTTTTCAACGAAGAGATTAAAGATAGGAGATGGATTTCGTCAGGCTGTCTTTGGCCAACAATTTCGCCTGGTGATCAAGAAAAGATTTACAATTTCCCTTATGAACTGGAGATTAAGCAAACTGTTTTCGAGATGGGGGCTTTAAAGGCCCCTGGTTCTGATGGGTACCCAGCTGCTTTTTATCGAAAAAATTGAGGAATGATTAAGGGCCAAGTTTGCTCCTTAGTCAACCTTATTTGGAAGAATCCTGATATTCTAGCTTCAATCAACTCCATGCTTTTGGTTTTGATCCCTAAAATTCACACTCCTACTCATATGAGTCAGTACCGCCCCATATCCCTTTGCCCAGTTATTTACAAAGTGATTAGTAAGCTAGTTGTGAGAAGACTTAAGCCTATCATGGCAGAAATTATTTCCCCAGCTCAATCTAGTTTTGTTCCCTGTCGGCATATACAAGACAATATCATAGTTGTCCAAGAGCTAGTTCACTCAATGAGGAAAATGCGAGGTAGGAAATGCTATATGGCTGTGAAGGTGGATTTAGACAAAGCATACGATCGGCTGAATTGGAACTTTATTCGAAAAGTGCTAGATGAGATTAATATTCCAACAACAATGGTAAAGTTGATAATGGCTGCTGTAACAACGCCAAAAACCAAGCTAGTTTGGAATGGTTGCCTTTCTGATGAGTTCCAACCATCTCGAGGTGTGAGACAAGGTGATCCATTGTCTCCTTATTTATTTGTTCTAGCAATGGAAAAACTTTCTCATATCATCAATACGGCTGTTGCTAGTGGTATTTGGAAGCCTATGTATGCAGGAAGAGATGGTCCTAAGGTGTCTCATCTGCTCTTTGCAGAGACTTGATGTTGTTCCTAGAAGCATCAGAAGATCAACTTCAAGTTCTTCTTCGTTGCCTGAATCTGTTTAGTGAAGTATCTGGTGAAAAGGTTAGTGATCACAAGACTAGTATTTTCTTTTCTATAAATACCCCAGAAGATATTGCTGCAAAGATTACTGAGGAGAGTGGTTTCAAGAGGATTACAAATATGGGCAGGTACCTAGGGGCGATGATTCAGCATGGTCGAGTTACAAAGAATCTTTATTCTGATATCATTGAGAGAGTTAAGATGAGACTCTCAAGTTGGCAAGGTAAAATGCTTTCTCAAGCTGGTAGGGTAACTTTAACCCAATCAGTGTTGTCGATGATTCCCTACTTTCATATGCAGAATACTATGCTTCCCAAATCGGTGTGTGATCAATTGGAAAAGTTACAGCTTGCGTTTATCTGGGGGGATTCTGAGAATAAGAAGAATATGCATCTTATTGGGTGTGATTCAATTTTGGCTCCTAAAGATAGAGGGGGTTTGGGTTTGAGGAAGATGTCGACAATGAATGAGGCCTTTCTTGGTAAACTTATTTGGTCCTATATGAGTTGCCCGAATCAACTTTGGGTGCAAGTTCTAAAGGCAAAATATGGCAGATTGGAAAATTATTCTGAGCATTTCATTGCGAAAAATGGGGATTCTTGGTTGTGGAAGCACATGTGTAAAGTTTGGCACAAGCTCCATCACAGATTAGTGTGGGAAGTTGGGGATGGGAATTCAATCATCTTCTGGGAGGATAAATGGCTTCACCATAGTAACAACTTGTCTAGCATTGCTATGGATACTATTCAGATAGCGGATAGAGGAAAAACAGTAAGAGATTATGTCACCCATGATGGAGATTGGAACGTTGAAGCTATGAGAAACATACTCCCAGATGATACTATACAAACCATTAAGAGTATGATCCCTCCACATGCATCTCATGGCGCGGATAGTATGATTTGGAATCTAAACAAATCGAATGATATATCAGTGAAGCTTATCTATTTTGCTGTGCTGAATCAAGATGCAGATGGCACTCATGATGAAGAGATTTGGAAGCTTGTTTGGAAAATTAAAGGCCTTCATCGTATCAATTTTCTAATGTGGAAGATTGCTTACGATAGGTTACCGACCAGAAGCTGGCTTGCTGCTTGCCATTTAACTCCTTCTTATTGTCCTTTATGTGAAATGGGGGATGAGTCAATACTTCATATGGCAAGGGATTGTGTTAAAATTAAACAAGTTTGGAACGAGTTGATCCCCCATAATTTTGTTCCTGATTTTTTTGCTGTTGATTTAAATCTGTGGCTTCTGCAGAATCTACGAATCAGTTCTTGTGTGTGTCTCAATGTTCCATGGGCCACTATTTTTGCTACAACTATCTGGTTTGCTTGGAGATGGAGGAATGCTATTGTGCATGGGAATTTATCGGAGGGTCAAGCTTATAATGCTCAAACGATTAAGACCGCTGTTTTAGAATATGAGTCTGTTTGGGATTTTAATCATAATTCGGGTTCCACGAAGAATTATGCTGCTGTTTCAATTTGTAGGTCTCCTCCTGTTAATGGCTGGCTAAAATTAAACACAGATGGGGCTGCTAGAAATTATGGTGGGGGAGCAGCTTGTGGTGGGGTAGTTCGGGATGCTTCTGGTCATTTGGCTTCAAGGTTTTGCTTTGGGGTGTTCTTAAAGGTCTAGAAGTTGCTTGGGCTGGAGGTTGGAAACATATTATTCTTGAAAGTGATTCTTTTTCTGTTATCACTTTGCTCACCAAAGCTGGTGGAGCAGCTCGAGAGTCCCGTTTGGTGACTCGTATTCGAGCATGGTTACTAAAGGATTGGGAGATTCAGCTGGTTCATGCTTACAGGGAAAGTAATAGATGCGCGGACTGGTTATCTAAGTACCTGCTGGATCATTCGTTACAACAAAAATTTTTCTCTTTTTTTCCCCTCCTTCTGGGATTTGGCTTCTGTATTTAGCTGATTTTTTAGCGTCTAGCTCTTTGCGTAGAATTTCCTTTGTTTAGGCTCTGTGGGGTTTTCCCCTTCAGTTCACAGAAAAAAAAGAGTCTAAAATTCAAATATAAAAAAATTGAATTTTAAATATTAAATAATTTTACCCAATAAACATAATAATAAATATTAATAATAGGCTTAATAATTTCAAATGCAAAAATTAAGTAGTAGGAAATATTAAAGTAGTTTGTAAAATACTAACATCAGTTAGCACATTCAAACATATCCAACTAATAACTTGCATTAATGATTTTCAAATTCAATTCAATCTGTTTATTTTATTTTTTTTTAAAAGCCAAAAATTAAAATTCCAAATGATACAGAAGGTCATCATTAATAACATTAAAATTTCAAATTTTTTGGCTATCATCATTTTTTTTAATCATCTCATTTTTTCAATGCACTTAATTACTGAAATGGCACGAAGTAATGACCTAAATTAATGGTTTCAAATAAAATTCAATCTATTTGTTTATTTTTTAAAAAAAAAAATTGAAAATTGAAAATCCAAATAATACAGAAGGCCATTAATAACATTAATATTCCTAACATTTTTGGCTATCATTGTTTTTTAATCATTTTGATTTTTTAATGCATTTACTTGAATGACACGACTAATGATCTTCTTTGCCTTTTCAAATTTCATTCAATATGTTTGTTTGCGTTTTTTTTTTTTAAAAATTCAAAATTTAAAACTTCAAATGATACAAAAAGACATCATTAATATAATTAAGATTCCACACATTTTTGACTTGCATGTTTTCTAAACATCTGTTGGTTTTCTGATAATTATGATTTTGTTTTTCGATATATATATATATATATATATATATATATATATATATATATATATATATATATATATGGGTCAGGATCATTTTACACTAGTGTAAGTTAGACTCTTAATCTTCTCCGTTAATCCCACTTAAATCTAAGGGCTCAAATTTTTTAGTAATGTGAGCCATTAGATACAAGTGGATCAATGGTCAAGATTGAGTGTAAGATTTCTAACTCTTACACCGGTGTAAGAATATCCTGCCCCTATATATATATATATATATATATATATATATATATATATATATATATATATATATTACATGGATCAGGATCATTTTACACCGGTGTAAGACTAATAAGTCTTACACCATATCTCAAGTGTTGATTTCAGTACTTCCAAAGATCATAACATACAAATTAGTTAATATTAATTAATTATTAATTACACTACAAATACCAACCGATGATTTTCGTCCATCAGCGGTTGAGATGTGGTGTAAGACTTATTAGTCTTACACTAGTGTAAAAAGAACCTACCTACCTACCTACCTATATATATATATATATATATATATATATATATATATATATATATATATATATGGGGCATGATATTCTTACACCGGTGTAAGAGTTAGAAGTCTTACACTCAATCTTGATCATTGATCCACTTGTATCCAATGACTCACGTTACTAAAAAATTAGAACCCTTAGATATAAGTGGGATTAACGGACAAGATTGAGAGTGTAAGTTACACTGGTGTAAAATGATCCTCACCCTATATATATATATATATATATATATATATATATATATGATGCATGATCTTCTTACATTGGTGTAAGAGTAATAACTCTTACACTCAATTACTCTTACACTCAATCTTAACCGTTGATTATCGAATATCTAACGGTTATAATTAATAATTAATTAATGAGAATAATCTAATTAATTATAGTCGTTTGATGAACGGAAATCAACGATTAAGATTGAGTGTAAGAGGTATTACTATTACACCGGTGTAAGTTGATCATGTCTATATATATATATATATATATATATATATATGGGTTTACATTTCTATAGCTGCTGTACGTGCAACAATCAAAT